GAGCATGTTGACCACAGCATACTTCAACACGACATTTCTTTTTCTATACTTCGATACTCCATACTAGTTTTTTCTCTTCAATCATAACACCGCAAGACAAGATGGCCGAGCGGTCTAAGGCGCCAGTTTCAGGTACTGGTCCGAAAGGGCGTGGGTTCAAATCCCACTCTTGTCAAAAGCGTTCTTCACATGATGACAAGATGGCCGAGCGGTCTAAGGCGCCAGTTTCAGGTACTGGTCCGAAAGGGCGTGGGTTCAAATCCCACTCTTGTCAGCGAGCTATGAGAGAGCTTGAAAAATTAAACAGGTGGAACTCTTTGCTGCATGAAGTGCGACAACAATAAAAACTATTTGCTGCACAACGTACGACAAAAATAAATGCATGAACAATTTTAGTTTAAAAATGAATAAATAAATAAATAAATAAAAAGACTGAACTGAAAGCCACAGATTGGCAGCAGTTTGCACAATGCATTTTTTTGAGTTAATAAATCAAATGTCAAGCAGGCAGTTGGGCAGTTTGCCCTGGAGGGAGATCCCACTGCCGATGTATGTGGATTAGTGTTTAAGGTGTGTGACTGTCAGGGATCGTGGATTTGGCAGGATATCAGCGGTAGCCTGTTTTTGCGAATTAAGCCTGGGAAAAGGATGTTTTCTTTTGCTCTCCCATTGGTAGGTTTTCCTTTCGTTTTTGTTGTTTCGGTCCTGTGGCTGTCCCAAACGTGCGTGAAATCACAGTCAATTTTTTTGGTTCCTGAAATCACACACGTTTCACTCACGGCAAAAGCAAAGGCGAATGGCTTCATTGCTGGAAATTGATTGTGGTTTGGGAGGGTTCGATCCCCTCACCTACAGCAAATGGTGTATGGAATTACTCTTGCCCTCCTTCACCAAAGGGAATTTCTGTCAGAACAACCAAACAGCGTGCACTGCGGCCTATTTCAAGGAAACCTCAGACTATTGTCAGTGAATATGGTCCGTGTGCCCACTCACATGCAGTCGTCTTGACTGCCACAGCCATGGTCAGTGAATCATACCCTGACATCTGACACCCTGGCTGGAGCAGCCACCATCTGTGAGAGGAGCACTTTCTTTTCCTTTTTCGCAGTTTTTTTCTTCATTTGTTTGGTCATGAAATGTTTTTTTGCGTTTATTTTCCCTATTTCACGCTGCCACCCACCTGTCCCCCACCGGTCCCACACCCGTCACACTAATCCACATACATGGCTAGTGGGATCTCCCTCCTGTTTCAGGAGCGAGCAGCTTCTTCGGCCCAGCCCCTCCCTTTTCCTGAGCAATTCCGCAGCATACCTGCTGGAAATCCAGTATAAGTATCGTGTTATGGCCTGGTTCCACTACACAGCACGTATGTGGAATCTATGCTGACCAGGTACATTTACAGTGATCATGTATCTGGAATCTATGCTGACTACATACATTGAGACTCGTCACCTATCTGGAATCCATACTGACCAGATACATTTGGACTGAACTATCATTCTGAATTTTTCTCAATGGACACATTACCAGGTCCTCATTCAAAAAAAAAAAAAAAAAAAAAAAAAAAAAAAAAAA